GTCTTCATTTTAGTGCTTGACAATTAGTAGAATGGATAACAAAAATGCGTTATAGTTCAGGTTAGACTGCATTATCAATGCTTATACAGCCACAGAAATTACCTAAAAGTATTAAATTTCCATTTTAGTCTATTTTTTGCATCAAATTGTTCTCTCTTTCTGTATTTCTACGCCTTTGAGCCTTCATTATCAATTTAATATTCGGCCTCATTGTCAGTGTAGTTCCATCTAACGTATGTAAACCAGGCACTCGATAATGTACGTTCAACCTTATTCGATATTCGCTAGTAGTTTCGATAGGTTATCACTTTTATAACATTTTAACAGTGTTTTATTAAGTGAAGATATATCCCTCCCCTTTTACGCATATTTACCGAATAAAACAAACTTACTAGAGTTGTGAAATCAAGGCATTAACGTGTTTTCCTCTAAAGCATTACTTCTAGGGTCCGATTAATTTAGGTGGCACTAATGGGTCAAAAACAGCGTATAAATTGCATTCCATTTAGAGGGAGACCGCATTCAAGGATTAGAGGACCAGATACTACGCACTTACACAATGAAGCATATGCTTCCCTTCATCATGGGTTCATCAAATTTCATTCCTTAATACACTGAGTGGCACATCGCTAAGTTTACATATTCCTTAATTAATTTCCCTCTATAACCAGGACAAATCAACTTCGGCTCTTGTATTTGATGAACACCTCAAAGGGCCCATCGTATTTTGGTGTTCTGCATCTACTCCTCTTGGCTCTTCGGACGTTTGGTGGCCTGGCATGAAAAAGCTGGATGGAATCTTAAAAAGTAAAAGTAAGTTGTACTGCGTTTGCTTCGTTCATCTTATTTTCTTCTTCAAGCTCTTAGCATAACTGTTTAGTGACTAACCTTAGTCGCAGCATTTTTTTGGCCTGATTCGGAATTATACTGCCCATTTAATATAATTGGTCTTTACACTATCCGCTACCCTTAACGATTACATTGATAAAAGTCTCATTTAAGTGATGAAACATTTTTAAAACAGGTAAATCGATGATCACCATTAGATGCTTGATAGTTTGGTTGCCCAAGTCAAAGTGAAGCTTCATGTTATTTGGCCCTGTCTTTCGAATTAACTAAGGTTACAGTTTGCTGTTAATTTTTGCATAATCTCTTTCCCCTAAGACAATCTTTGGTTCCTTTCATTTTTATATGTATTCTTCTTGGTTTTACGGTCTAAATAAGCATTTGTCTACTTCCAAGGCTAAGTATCTACTGCTAATTCTAAGCGTTGAACTTCTAAATTATAAAATATCTTCTGTTTAGTGTGAACCGAATCAGTAATTCTTAAATAAGTACTTCACGCCCTAAGTCGCTTAAAGGGATATAATGGCTGATAATAGAATGGCTACTACAATCATATGAGTAGGCATCACGATGTCATGTTCCCTCTTTTAGCGTTGACTAAAGTTTGGCCATATGTAATGTGTTCACCCTATTTAGCTTAAATTAATGAAAGACTAGTAGTTGAATTTTCCTGCAATGATATGAGTAGAGCTGACGTTTCCATTTAATTTCACATAGCCTTGCTCTTCCAAAAGTTGTTCTCATTCAGGTTGGACTGCAGTTTTGACCACGCCTATGTCCTATCAACACCCTCAGCAGGAGTCGAACCATGACAGTGCAGCTTGTAAACTCGACACGCTAATCACTCCGCCACATTGCCACGAGTGCCCTTGGGTCAAAGGGCAGATGTCAATTTTAACGAAGGTCGAGTATTATCTATATCACATTCTGTGTTGGGATTGTCGATGAAGCAAACTTATATTTGCTATAGTAATCGACGACATTTCTTTTTTTGAGATTATCAGTAAATTAGATATATGAAATATGTTCACCCCATTTCGTTAATGAATGACCCTTGGAATCAACGCTGGATACAAACATTTTTTTCAGGTAAGCCTAAGTTAATTTAAATGGCATCGTTAGGCTCATATCATCATGGTAATAACTTCACGATCAATCTTTAAATAATCTTAAATGAACAATGGTGATCGTATAAGATATGTATTCGTTTTAGGTGATAAAGGAGCGAAAGTTTAATTTCCCCACAATGATATGTATAGAACTTACAGTTCCACTGAATTGCATATATTCTTGCTTCCCAAAAGGTATTCTCATTTAGTGTGGACGGTAATTTACCCCTCGCCTGGGCCTTATAAACATCCTTCCAAACCACCACCATAAACGAAATAGGCTGAATATATATCTGATTTTCTGGTAGTCTCGAAACCCTACTTATAAACGCAAAATAAGTGATGTAGTCGATTTTTATAGCTTGTTATAGATTATTGGTCCATCGACAATCCCACAAAATTATGTGGTTTGGGAAAAGGCCTGGCCTTCCTTGATATTCACATCTACCCTATGACCCAAGGGCACTCGTGGCAATCTGGCGTAGTGGCTAATGTGTCGAGATGACACGTTGCATTACCATGGTTCGATTACCACCGAAAGTGCTTATAAAACCTAGGCGAGGTCGAAACTGCGGTACACCCTGAACGAGAATACATTTTGGGAAGCAAGAATATGTGAAATTCAATGGAATTGCAAGGTCTACTCATCTTATTGTGGAAAAATTTAACTACCATTCGTCCGTCACCTTAAACAAAATAGGGTGATTCCATCTCATATATATGGTTTACTGGATGTCTCTAAACTCTAATTATGAACGAAAGGATTATAATGTTCTTAATCAAATTACTTTGCTCATACCATCTGTTTATTGTTTAGCTACACCAAGCATTAACTTCAGGCGGGAACCTCTTTCGAGTAAATAAAAACTGTTAGTATCAAGGCATACTCAAACGGAATATTCTCCTGAATGAGTGTTAAATTCTTCTCTGTAAATCCATGGGCTGTTGCTGTTCCTGGCGCCGTATTTATATATTACTTCGCTCTATCCTATTTTTTTATCTTCTTGACCCATTTTATATGACAAAAATCCCTCGAATGTAGTCCACTGTATTTAAGAATGAGCTAAATCTAGGTACTTTACGCCTATGATATTATTACTTGGAATACCTAAAACAAATTGAGATGGTAGATAATATACAATTTATTACTTGTTTAATAATGAAGCTTCTTTTCAATAGCTTTACTTAGGTTATGTTTCTGGAAAATATGTTTACTTAGCTCAACAATGAGCTTTGTAAGAAAATATGTTCAAACTATTTTTGATGTTTACTCGCAAAGTCATATGGTAAGCAATGCTTTTGGATTATCCTATTGATATATTAAACGAGTGTCCGTACTTTAATCGTGTGAATTTGCGATTTTCATATTGAATTATATACCAGTGTAACAAGGTTTCTAATTAGTCATGTATCTCATTGCGAAATTAAGCTAGAGTGCTCAAAAGATGTGTCAAGTTATTCTTAATTTTATAATATAGGGTTTATTCGTTAAGTGAATCAATAAATCCAAGTATTTGGTGAATTGATGAGTAATAGTGATTAAAAGTCTTTGCTGATATTTTAAGCATTTTTATAATTATCAATTGTTTAAATATACAATTTTGTAGGTTATCAAAAATATGCAGGGAAAAATCTGTTCTTAACCTTAGAGCCTATAACACTAACCTTTTAGCACATTCCCTTTTTATTAAGGCAGTAACCGTATCCCTCTCTGGTGGCCCATTCTGGCCGTCGTTGTCGAGCTGGCTTTGCTCGCCAGCGTATTCACATACTTTGAATTACGCAGACGTCGGCAAACACCCAGTAGCTCAGCGGCCGTGCGGTTCTGCTGCCCTAATCCTCGGGTCGCCTCCATCTGGTGGTGTCTCTGGCCAGTTCGCTACCAGCCAGCTAACTCGAGCAACGTCTACATGTACGGCCCTGACGACCTAGTATCTTGCGACTCAAGTTTAGCCGCCTTGACCACAGGGACCGGACCTGCAGACTCCCAAGCGGCTAACATTGTTGGCTCAGCTACTGGGGCAAACTCTAGTGGAAGCAGTAGCTACAGCTTGAGGACTAGTCTTAGAAGACCGGGTTCGATTGGCATTGAACCAGATTTCAATGATAGGCTAGAATTGCGAAAAACGCGGTTGACGAAATCGAATAATCTTGTCTCCAAAACGCATGCTTCCGTGGCTTCTTTAGCCTCAGCGCTGTCAGAAGCTAGGCCTGAAGGTAGAGTAGATGGTAGCAATACTGGAGAGCACCTCGAGATGTCCAAAGAACAAGCTGATTCACTTTCTTCTAAAGCAATTTCGACTGGATTCTACAATAAAGGTCTTCTTCTGACAAGGCCAGGCGATCCAATGCTAAACGTTCCCAACTTGATTCCGACCAGGCTACACCCGGATGACCTCGCCGTGGAAGCGATGGTAGCTCGAGATGGCAAGTCGCTTTATTTAAGATATCTTATCTGAGATTTATTCAGATCAAATTCTTACAAACTATTTTGAGTGCCCAAATACAATTTGTTACATCCTATAGCACCGTAAAAATTGTGAA